TTTCTCCTCAGCGGTGATTGCTACTGTTGAGAGTTTTTGCCTTCTCCTTTCTGTACTAACCCTGGATCTCCAGATGCCACTGATAAAGAACAGAAACACTAGACAATCACATTGGAATTTCCTATCAATTTTGTGCCTTGGTCATAACAGCAGCGGGTCAGCACGAACTGTGTTTTTCTTATCTGCAGAAAATTGTGCTCATTTAGAGTATGGTTGCCTAAGTAAGTACTGACTCAGGAGGAAATAATTTTCTGTGATAATTCTTTTGGTGTTTATTTTTTCCAGGGGACTTGGTACATTTCTCCTGTTTCCCCTCTTCCCATGTCTCTTTTGTCCCCCCTCCCCAGCCCCCGTTGTTACATTGGCTTTTTGGTAGGATGGGGAAATAATGATGGAGAAATGTTTTGTACTCTAGGCCTCACATTAGCAGACATTGAGTGTTTACTGCTAAATGAGGAGCAAAATAGCAGACACTAATACATGAGTAAGATTATACCAAATTCACTCTATTTCTAAACATAGCAAATAGAATCAATCATATTGAACGTGAACATACAATCACAGGTTTTTAAATTTCCTCCAGTTTTTAAATCTTCAATCTACAAACATGCAAAACACTGAGAAAAGGTTTTTCTTGAAAAATTTTCTAATGTTTTTGTTTATTTTCTTTGGAGAGTTTATAGAGTTATATAGTTAATTTTGAAATACGATTTTATTTATTGAGTTATTGAAATAGAATTTTATTTTTGAATTTGGATGTGTTTAGGTATGCTGAAATTTTTAAGCATTTCAGGTAAAAAAGGAAAATATATTGCTACAACTAATGAAATTTCATACAGTATAGCCAGTTTGGGGCCCCTTTTGCAAATGGTGCCTGTGGTTTGCTCCTTTGCTTCTGGCTCTTGGCTTCTTGGGGGAGAATAAATAGAAAAGGTAATTTATTTTATGTCTTAGATAAAAAGGCCTGTTTTGGAGTTAGGGAAGAAAAAGCCAGGACTAAGATCAAGATCAAAGTGGATACTTACACCCTGGCCGGTTTGGGTCAGTGGTTGGAGTGACGACAGCCCAGACCAAAGAGTTTTGGGTTCGATTCCTGGTCAAGGGCATGTACCTGAGTTGCAGTCTCCATCCCCGGATGGGTCACAAGGCATGCAGGAAGCCACCAATCGATGTTTCTCTCTCCTCTCCCTCCCTTCCACTCTCTCTAAAAAGTCAATGAAAAATATCCTCAGGTGAAGATTAAAAAAAAAAAAAGTGGATACTTACTGCTTTTCTGTACTACATAGCTCATACTCTGATAATTAACTTTTACTCATGGTTGTCAGTACCCCTTATCTGTTCTTTTAAAACCAGTCTCCTCTGAGGCTATAATTAGATACAGCAGCTTGGTGGGGTTTTTTTTGTCAGCATTTATGTGTTAATTCCTAAGATGATCTGAAACCAATTGAAAACAGGGTGAACTAGGAACCCGAATCCTGTCCTCCCCATGGGTGGTTCTTCTCTGGCTGTTTAGGTGGTTTGGGAGGCAGAGTAACAGCCCTCAGTGAGAATAAATAAGTGGCAAAAACTTAGTTAAAGGAGACCGTTAATAAACTCCGTTAGGCTCTGTTCGCCGCCTTGTTAGATTGGTTTAACCAGCTTCCTCATGTTATTCATGGGCCCTGAGAGTAGCATTTTTTATTAATGAGCTTTGCCTAGAAATACGTGCCTATTCGAAAGTGGAGAATGATTTTTGTTTGCCAAGGCCTCCATCTCTCACGACTGGTGACATGTCACTTACTTTGAAAGTACTTTTAGAGCAGATCTAGCCCTCTTCATCTCCCTGCCCCCAATTTAAAAAAAATTTGCTGCTTTCCCTGGTGTTAAAGAAAAACAGTTCAAGTCAAGTTGAAGATCTGATTGGTTCGTTGAACGATTCACGAATTGGGCAGCGCCCATCTGGTAAAGAGAAAGGGGGCTCTGAGCAGTTGCATGAAACAGAAGGTTTTTCTGAGTGGGATGAGGGTGGGACGAGGAAGTTGAAGGAGTGGATTATTTCAGGCAGAGTCATCTTCCTGAAGGCAGCGGGTTTTATCAGGCAGATTACAGATTACCTCACCAGCCCCAACCAGGAAAGTTCAGATTGATTGTTTTAAAATTCCATTCCTGGGAGAGGCGGAGGCTGCAGTTAGGTTAGTACTGAGGTCTTGGTGGGGCTTATGGCAAAGAACTCCATTTTCGGTATTTTGTTTCTTTTTAACCCTGGGAAGAATTGCAAAGGAAACCAGGTGTTCTGTGAAATACTGACCCTGTTAATCATCAGAGTTCTTTTTCTTTCTTTATTTTTAAAATATATATTTTATTGATTTTTTTTTTTACAGAGAGGAAGGGAGAGGGATAGAGAGTTAGAAAATCAATGAGAGAGAAACATCCGTCAGCTGCCTCCTGGTGTGCCTGCAACCAAGGTACATGCCCTTGACCGGAATTGAACCTGGGACCCTTCAGTCTGCAGGCCGACGCTCTATCCACTAAGCCAAACCGGCCAGGGCCAGAGTTCTTTTTCTTAATGGAGATATTACTCATATACCATAAAATTCACCCTTTTAAAGTGTGCACTTCGGTGGTTTTTAGTATATTCACAAGGTTGTATAAACTCAGCACTGTCTAATTCCAGAAATTTTCATCACCCCGAGAAGAAACCTTGTATCATTAGCAGTCCTTCCCCGTTCTCCCCTACCCCTACCCTGGCCACCACTAATCTACTTTCTATCAAATGCTCTGCTTTCTATTACACTGAAACCTGTTGTCCCTGCGACTTAATGGTTAGACGATATGGGAAGTGGGTGGAAGCTACATGAACAGACTCTTAGGGCCTGTCTTCTTGGTCAGCTGAGCCTGTGAGGCTGGTTCTCTTTATAGCTTGTGATTAAATTTACCTAAAATATCAAATGTCTGGTGGTAACATGCAAGAAGTTGAGCCTGACTTGATAATGAAATTAATTTGTGGAAAACACCCTTTTGAATTCTAAGTACAAATCACCAAAAAGGCATTGAAGTTCCTCTCTACCTTTGTATTCTGTAATTTGAGAATACTCAGAATTCAAATCATATAGGACTTGGTCAGTCGAAACCAGAAAACAGGTAGTTTGAACAGATTGTGGACTGGGATATACGTGTCAAATATGCTTTGAATAAATTCTTTGGATTTCTGCCCGTTGCACATGTATGAGATCTTGAAGTATATGAGTTTTGAAAATGGCTGGGGATTAATTTAAAATGGGAGGGGAAGCGCCAGTCCCCAGCAGTCTTCCTTGACCATAGTGTCTGGAAGAATAGACATTGAGAAACGCTGACGAAATATGAAGTGTGTAAGGGAACCCCTGGGGACCTAGGGGACTGCTCAGTGGACGCCCTGGGCTGGGAATAAAAATTTATTAGCTGTGATGTGTTCCTAATTGCTCAACTCTCCTGGATTATCCCAAATGGTTTCTTAAAGAAACGGAGTGCTGGAGCTTCTCCCAAAGTTTCCACTTTTTATGTAGCTGTGTTTTTCAGTCTAAGTACTGCATGTGGCTCTCTGTTGGAGAATTGCTTGGCAGGCAGTTCCAGAACCTGGCGTACTTCCTCTGGGCCACTGTGATGGAGAGCAGGAAGGATGGACTCCCAGAAACCATGCCCGTTAAAGTGTGGGTGTTGGGGAAGCTAGTGAATATGGACAGAAATCTAAACCACCAGTGTTGGGAGTGGTTGTCGGACCTTTTACAATAAAAGGTGGTAGTTGCTTCATGCAGGTGCCCTTTTGTGTCCTGCCCTCTGGCTCTCCTGTTATTTTAAGTGACAGATGCTGGACCAGGCTTGGAATTGATGTAGCTTTCCTTCCCTTGACTTGGCAGATGAAACAGGAATGCATTATTGGGGATTAATGCATCAAAATGCTGCAGTTTAAAAAGTGCTTTGAAATATAGTGGAGTCCATCTGAAACAAGTATTTTCTTTCTGAAAACATTAATTTCCTTCAAGGGTGGTTGGTTTTTCTGTTTATTCTGTTCAAACATAGATGGGGGGGCGGGATTTACAGAAGAATATTTTCAACTCCATTGAATTATGCCTGACTCTGTTTTAATCTCTTTTTAAAATTCAGTAAAGCCTGACCTTCCTTGCCCTCACCTCCAAAAAAATTCCCAGTAGGGAAATAGATAAAAAACGAAACTCCTTTTGGCCACCCTCACTCTTCACCCCCTGGGTCCCCACTACTTTGCAATAACTACTTTCCAGCCATTTGGTTTATTTCCTTACAGTAACTACTCAATGAACATGTAATGAATCCATGTGTATCTGTAGTGCTTTTTAAATGACACACCCAAACCCTTTCAGTAACACCCTAAAGAGGTGACATAATTTTACTTTTTAAAGTGAGTTGAACTTCTCTGCTGCCGTTAAAAAACAAAGTTGCCTAGATATTGTAATTACAGTAAGTTCTCACTTAACCTTGTGGATAGGTTCTTGGAACTGCTGTCAAACAGGTTATTTGATATTCACAAGAGCTGAGTTCCTACGATCTCATCAACACTATGATGAAACAATCTTGACCCGAACGACATTATGTGAGGACCTGCTAGATGAACTTGTGAGATGTAGTGACTTTCACATAGTTATGGATTGATGCACGGACCCCAGAATTGGACTTATCTGCCATGTGAGAAGGCGCTTTCTGTATTCTGGTGATTGACTTGAGATTGCTTTGAAAAACTGCAAAACAATCTTTGTTAATGACTTTGAAATATCACTTTAAGAAGAGGGACCGTACATAGTACAGGGAGGCCCTTGGGGGTAATAGTAGGATTGCTGCTGAGTTCCTCGGATTTGTGCGTCTTGGGGTGTGTTGGTTCACATTTAAAAATAGGGCTCTAATTAAAATGGGTGTTCTCGCTGGAAATAAGAACTATATTTCAATTAGTAAATTTCCTGTTTCCTTAACTTGTGTGTTTTTTTTTTGTTCCCTTTTAATTTTTTTTAAAACAGCAAGCCAGGGCTGAGCAGGAAGAAGAATTCATCAGTAACACGTTATTCAAGAAAATTCAGGCTTTGCAGAAGGAGAAGGAAACCCTTGCTGTAAATTATGAGAAGGAAGAAGAGTTCCTCACTAATGAGCTCTCCAGAAAATTGATGCAGGTAAATTATCTATTCTCCCCTCTCATCTCCCCTGCCTGCTGTCCTCTCCAGGAAAAAACGACTTTGATGGAGCAGTTTGCTCAAAACATTTGCTGATGAGCTTGTAGCTAACAGTCTTTGGAGATTAAAAATGCCTGGTAAAGATGGCAGCAGTGTGATACTGAAGACTGTGGTTCCCTAGCTCATCTGCTCAGGGAAGGGAAGCTACTTTACATCAGCATTTCAAGTAACAGCTGAGGAGTCCAAGGCCTCCGCCTGGGAGTGAATGCTGTATGCAGTATTTTTGGATATAGGAGAATTAATACCAAATGTGAGATTTCTTTCCCCTTTTATGTTGAACCTGTAATGAATGCATAAACATTTTTGGCAGTCAGAACTAGGTCTTTTGTACTAAAATATGGGGATATAAAGTGAAGTGTCCATTTGGGGGAAAAAAATAAAAGGTCTTCACAATCCATGGTTAAAATGACACGCAATCAGTTGTGTTCAAGTGGGTGTATAATATGTTACTAAACAAATATTAAAACTTAAAAAATTATTTGTTTTAAATATTAAAACAACATTAATCACTAATAGTTTGTAAAAGATACCACACAAAACATACAGGAAGGTTTGATTTATTTATTTTATTAGTTCAAAGGCTCTCCCCTCCTTTTTTCTCCCATACTCCCCCCTTGCCTCCCCAACACTTACTAGTGAAGTACAAAAGTAAAATTTGTTTAAGGCAAACATTTTGTGGTCTACTTAGTATGAACTTAAGAATAAGTAGGATAGCCCTGACTGGTTTGGCTCAGTGGATAGAGCATCGACCTGTGGACTGAAAGGTCCCAGGTTCGATTTCAGTCAGGGGCATGTGCCTTGGCTGCGGGCATATCCCCAGTGGGAGGTGTGCAGGAGGTGGCTGATCGATGTTTCTCTCTGATATATGTTTCTAGCTCTCTGTCCCTTTCCCTTCCTCCCTGTGGAAAATCAATAAAATATATTTTTTTTTAAAAAAAGAAGTAGGATATGGAGTTTTTATTATATAACACAGCTTATCCAGAATAGTGAGCAGAGATAAAATTATCCCGGGAGGACCACTGTTATCACTCTGTCAGCAGGCTGTGACAGGTAGAAACACGCCCTTGTATTTTCTATTTCCTGGCATCACTAAATTTGGTTGACATATGTGTTTTAGTGAGGTGATAATAAAAGGATATTTGAGGCTTTTAAAAAAACTTCCTAATTTTTTTCTTACCATCCAACATAGATTGTCCTATAAGAGAAGACCGGAATTCCGCTTTAGAATAGAAACTTTAGTGTTAAAACTGTATATGGTCCAGGCAACTTTTACTCAATCTTTGTTTTATTCTCATTTTTCTACCTGACTACTGAAGAAAGATACCATTACAGCCTTGCAAAAAAAATTTTTTTTATTTATATGGCCACTGTTGAAATGTGAAGAATAGGGATTCCGAGGCATTCATGTCTGGTAGAGATTTATGGCAGTTTCTCATGGACACATTTTGCTTATTCATGTGATTCAAAATCATTCTGATTTTGAGGGGGAAAAAATGAGGGAGAAGGTTAATTTGGCATTTGACTGCATCACCTTGGTAGCGTTCGATGACTTATTCTTTATGTTGCTTCTAGCACTAAAGGGATGCAATTATAGTCTGTTGTTCTGAGTTTGGTGTGCAATCAGGCATCCTAATTTTTTAACACTCTCAGAAACATTCCTTGTTTACAGCTTTCATGGTTGTTAGTATTTGGGGTCTTTGACCAAAGTACATTATAAAGCCATCAGAACTGATGCAGATCACGCTCCTTCTCTCTGTACTCATCTTCAGTGTGCGTGCTTCTGTAGTGTGTAGTTTCTAATCAGCTTCTCAGTCACTGGTCACGACCCACCCACTTTCCAAGGACATTAAAATAAGATACTAAATAAGAATGAAAACGTGAGAGCTATGTGCCACAGAGAGGGGCATTAGTTATAGTAATACACGTGGCATAAGAAAGTTTGAACTTAAAATGTAAGTTCTGAGCATCCTATAAATAAAGCTATAACCTGGAGAAATATTGTGATTTTTAAAAATAATTCATATATCTAAAAAAAAATAGTTTTACTTGGTCAGGAGAAAAGAAATGTCATATATTAAAAGCTTAAATTTTTTCGAGGGGCATTGAATCTTTCTAAAGGGACTAATGATAAATAAATTGAACAACACAATAAACTCTTTTTGCCAGAAGTGATATATCATGTGTAGTACTAGTCTTCATGTGGCCAAGTCTTAACAAAAGGCATAGTATGAAGGTGTGATTCTGTTGCTTGGGGAGCTCTAGGTGGGTCTTTGCTTGTTAGTGATCTAACTTGTAGTATCTGGACAAACCAATAGTCAGCATGTCTCCGAGATGATCTCTCATGAATCCCAGCTTGGTTCTTAGGAGGTACATATATAATAAAATACACATAGCATAAAATTTACCATTTCTGAATGTATAATCCAGTGGTATTAAACACATTCACATGGTTGTGCAGCCATCCCACTATTCATCCCCAGAACTTTTCCAAACAAACTCTGTACCCATTAATAACTCCTCACTCCCCACTCCTGGTTCTTAGACTTTTCTGGAAAGCAGATGGGTGGCAGGGAGTTTGGGGTTGAGGTCTGGGCCAAGTTCTAGAGCTATGTCTGTTCTGTGGCACCATAGGTGATCTCTCACTTAGACATCGGGTTTCACTATGTGCCATTTTGTGGTAGACCTGAGAAGCCCTCTTCTGTTGCTGGCCAGTCGGAGAGATTGCAGGGAGGAGATCTGCAGGGAAGAAGGGCTGGCGGCCTATGTTATTCCCCTCCCCCACCCCCCTCAGGATGCATTTCCTGTTTTCAGCCCGTCCTTGGTGGAAGGCTCACCGTTTCTGCCACCCAGTGTGGAAGAACCCATCTCCATCTGGAAGACCTTTAGGTAATCGGTACCGATAGCCCTTCCCACTGTGTAATCACTGTACTGTGGCTCTCTAGGATGGTTGCTTCTGGATAGGACTTTGCTATGAAAAACCTGCTAAGAGCAACCGTACTGCAGGTGTGACTGATAGACACATGCGAACTGATCTGTTCACCGTGAAAGTGTTGAGCATTTTTTCACCCAAAGGCCGCCGAGAGGCTGTTTATAGAACAGTTTTGGGTTTGTCATCATGCTTTGGCTCTTGTCTCTCTCAGAGATTAGACATTGCTTTTATGTGCATTTCAAAGGAATTCTTTGGGCCTGAGAACAAAATTAGATTATTGCTATGGAGGAGACACCTTCCTTCCTATTGGCTGACTGAGCTGGTATCTAACACCTTTTAAAAACTCTGAGAGTCTCTTCAAGTGTAGATGAGAGGAAATCTCTTTGCCCTTTTAGAGGATCAAGTTTGGGAGGGAGCTTAAAGCACCTCCGAATATGTTAATGCTCCTGAAATAAACACACACACAAAAGAGAATACGCAGCTTTTCTCCCTTGCTTTTGTATATATCCAGTAGATAGACACAGAATTATATCTTCATTCTGAGAAAACTCTTATCTGAAAAATCTGTATCCTTCTGAGCCCAGACTGGGATTGGTCACCTGAGTGAGAAATTGTCCGATAAAGCACTTTCTTATACTTTTGGTAAATTCAGCACAAGCCTGCATCAGAACTAACTTCTGCCCGGATATCTTTTTATCTTTTTATTTTTTTATTGATTTCAGGGAGGAAGAGAGAGAGAGGGAGAGAGAAACACCAATGATGAGAGAAAATCATTGTGATCAGCTGCCTCCTGCACACCCCCTACTGGGGATTGAGCCCACAACCCCGGGCATGTGCCTTTACTGGAATCGAACCCAGGACCCTTCAGTTCTCAGGCTGATGCTCTATCCATTGAGCCAAACTGCCTAGGGCATGCCCTGGATATCTTGAAAGAGAGGTTGCAGTTTAATCATAATTTGTAATTAAAATTTATAAGAAATGCTGCCTTAGCAAACTCTTCATCAGAATTTGATTTAGAACATGCATCCTATATAATAAAAGCCTAATATGGAATGACCGATGGAATGACTGGTTGCTATGACACACTCTGACCACCGGGGGCAGAAGCTCAATGCAGGAGCTGCCCCCAGCCTGCAGGCCCCAGGCCAGTCAAGGTGGTTGCCAGAGGGGGGTCCCCGATCACCTGCCAGTCGCCCTGCAGAAGGAGGTGACTGGCAGCCACTGCAGCGAGGGGCAGAGTTGGCGAGCAGGCAGTGCCCGGCTGGCCAAGGTGGGTGCCAGCAGGGGCCCCCCAATTGCCCCACATATCGGCCCTGATTGCCGGCCAGGCCTAGGGATCCTACCCATGCACGAATTTTGTGCACCAGGCCTCTAGTGTTTAAATAGAAAAGTCTAATGTGCAGTATAGTGAGTGTAGACAACAATGTTGTATTATAACCATCAAACTTGTGAAGAGACTAGATCTTAATTATTCCTACTACAAAAAAGAAATGCTAATTATGTGATGTGATAGAGGTGGTATCACATCAATGGCCTTCGTATTACAATATATAAATGTATCAAATCAATATGTTGTACACCTTACATTTACACAGTATTATATGTCATATATATATATATATATATATATATATATATATATATATTTTTTTTTTTTTTAAGAAGTCTGAAAAGCCATTCTCCAAATGTTACCGGTACTTCTATTTGGGGTGCTGAACGGAGAGATGATTCAGGTCCCACACAGGATGGAGTGGGATGCTACAAGATTTCATCACACTACTCAGAATGATAGGCAATTTAAAACTTATACATTGCTTATTTCTGGAGTTTTCCACTTAATATTTTTGGACCACAGTTAACTGCAGATAACAATGGGAAGTAAGATTGCAGATAAAGGGGATTACTGTATCTTTTTTAATTTTTAATTTCTTTGTTAATCCTCACCAAAGGATATTTTCCCATTGATTTTTAGAGTGAGTGGAAGGGAGAGGGAGAGACAGGAAGAAACATT